AACCATGGGCTGTACATAAATCGGGCGTTTGTAACCCTGGACTGCTTATATTTGCTTTCCTTGCTCTCCCTCCCCAAAGGAGACCCCAAAGTCCTGCCCAGTCATGGCATCTAGTATAAAGTCAAGGATCTTGTGAAAGCCTCTGTGTAGAACTAAGATGTGACTCCTCTCTCTCTGTAAACCTCCTCCCCCACATATCTACGTAACACACAGTGGGGGAAGGACAGGGTAACTGTAGCAGATCACCTTCATTGAGACAATGGAAGAATGGCAGACAGAGTTACTCATTCACAAATCCATCAAAATTCTGAAATCAGATTGAACATGTGTGAGGGCCTCTCAGATGGACCATGTTCTGGATTTGATTGGCCCTAATTTCATCTCCTCTGTGGCTCTGAGCCACACTCTGGTAGGTCCTGTCCTTTCTTTCTGTTATGCTGATTGCTTACATCTGAAGAGGATGTAGGAGCATGTGCCCTCCTCCGGAGCAGCTCTGCAGCCTCCTTCTTTCCATTAGGAAGTCGAGGGTCCCAAGCATCATTTTAAGAATTAAGTAGTTGCAAGCTAGTAATTCTTTTGGAACTATGTTTTCCAAAAAACTAGTCCTTTCTCTGAATCCCTGGGTTTCCAATGCTAATCACACTTGACTGCTAACTGAAAAGTTGGCAGTTTGCGGCTGCCCAGAGGGACCTTGGAGGAAAGGCTGGGGTTCTGCTTCAGAAAAAGCAGCTGTTGGAAACCTTATGATCCTGTCGTTGTTGAGCCGTTTGCATTCTGTCTTGGTTTTGTGTGATTTTTTGTCTCTGAAACCCAGATTAGGTAAACCTATAGAGACAACAATTGGATCAGTAGATTCAAAGGGACACGGCAAGGGAGGCTGGCAGGAAACCGGCCCCTAGCAACAACACATACAGGGAAGGAGAGATGTACTGAAATTGATTGTAGTAATGGTTACACAACCATGGATGTGATTCAACTATTGAAACATATGTGAATTGTATGGCGGTGAAATTGTTAAAAATAAACAGACTACTTATTTTAAAAGAAAAAGAAAGAAAGAAAACCTTGGTAGCAGACTTCTACACTGACACCCCATGTGGGTTTGCCCTGAGTTAGAATCCACTCCACTTGAAGGCAAATCTTTCCGTTTGACTCAGCTCCATGTGGACTAGCCATGCCACACTTATTTTCTAGACATGCCTCTCTTTCAAGTTAATTACTGGTGCCTTGAGGGTGAAGGGGCCCTCATGGCACGGTGCTTAAGCCGTCGGCTATTAACCAAAATGCTAGCAGGCATCCCCAAACTACGGCCTGCGGGCCACATGCGGTCCGCCAAGGACATTTATCCGGCCCACCAGGTGTTTTTGCCCCGTTTGTTTCTTTACTTCAAAATAAGATATGTGCAGTGTGCATAGGAATTTGTTCATAGTTTTTTTTATATTTTAGAAACTGTAGTCCAGCTCTCCAATGGGTCTGAGAGACAGTGAACTGGCCCCCTGTTAAAAAAGTTTGAGGACCCCTGGGCTAATGGTTCGAACCCATCAGCTGCAATTAGGGAGAGAGATGTGTCAGCGTGCTTCCATAAAGACTACAGCCTCGGAAACACTATGAGACAGTCCTGTGTGGCTGTCATGCATCATAGTAGACTTGATGGCAACAGGTTAACCGTAAGCTGATTGGTCCTCTAATTAAGGCCTCTATTACAACCACACTTTAGTCCTCTCTAGCTGTACTCCCCCACCCCACCCCAAACTGGGTGAAGTTTTTGTTCCCCCTTTCCCAGCTGGAAGTATTGCTGGGTACCAACTTAATTAGTTCTGGTCGCTGGGTGAAGTTTTTTTCCTTTAACAGATTTATTGAGGTTTAAGAGTGGAATTGCTTGGTCTTATGATACGTTTCCCATGCCAGTTTGTCAGACTCCGATGTCTTGTATGTTGCTGTAATGCTGAGAGCTATGCTAGTATTAAATAGCAGCTGGGTCACCCGTGCGGCTAGCTTTCAGGGCAGCTTCCAGACTACAACCGACTAGGAAGATTGATCTGGCCGTGTACCTCAGGAAAAATGGGCCAGTGAATCTATTCTGAATAGTAGCAGAACATTGTTTGATATAGTTCTGGAAAATGAACTCCTCAAGTTGGAAGGTACTTAAAATATGACTGGGGAAGAGCTGCCTCATCAAAGTGGGGTCAACCTTAACGATGTAGATGGAATGAGGTCAGGATCTCCACTCACTGATGTGACGTGGTTGAAGATAAGAAGACAGCTGCAAACATCTGTTGATGATTGGAACATGGACTATATACAAAGTATGAATCTAGGAAATCTGGGAGTTGTGAAAAAGGAAGTGGAAAGCGTAAAGCTCAATGCCCTGAGCATTAGTGAGCTGATGGTCTGATATTGGACTTTTTGAATCCAGTCATCATATGGTTTACTAGGCTGGGAATGAGAAACTCAGGAAGGGTTGTTAAATTCATTGTCAAAAAGAACATTTCAAGGTCTACAATGCTGTTTCTGATAGAAGGCTTTCTATTTACCTATAAGAGCAGGGAATACAACTATTACTTAAATTTACACACCAGCCCCTAAAGCCAATGATGAATAAATTGAAGAATTATGCCAGTTTCTTCAGTATGAAAAGAACCAAACACACAATTTAGATGCATTGACTAATTACTGGTGATTGGAATGCGAATCTCAGAAGCAAAGAGGAAGGATCAGAAGTTGGAAAATGTGGCATTGGTAATGGAAACGACGCTTCATAGAATTTTGCAGGACAAATGACTAAGAAGATGTTGCAAATTTCTTTTCCAAGAAACCACCCCACCCCACCCCCCAACAAACCCATTGCAGTTCAGTAGATCCGGACTCATAGAAACCCTATAGGACCAGGCAGGGCTGCTCCGGTGGGTCTCCAAGACTGGAACTCCTTACAGGAGTGGAAAGTCTCATCTTTCTCCCTTTCAACAACATAAGCACGATTATATGCTTGGACTTCCTTGGGATCAGCTACAGCCATGGAAAGAGTTGGAGAAGTTCAATATCATCAGTCAGAATAAGGCCAGGGCCTGACTGTGGAACGGACCATCAATTATTCATACGCAAATTCAAGTTCAAGCTGAAGCAAGTTAAAACAAGTCCATGAGAGCCAAAGTAATATCTTCAATATGTCCCACCTGAATTTAGAGACGATCCAAGAGTTGATTTGATACATGGAGCTTGAATGGCTGAAGACCACGCAGGTGGTGGGAGGACATCAAGGATATCAGTGATGTTGTGGAACCTGTGTGAAATGGTTCACAACAGATTAGTAAGGGAGCCAGCGTTTACCTTGCGTATTGAGTAATCCACTCTTTCGTAAAACCAAACACTGACTCAGTTCAACATCTGCCCCAGCGGCCTCGGCTAAAGTGTGGCAAGTATGACCTGTGCTCTGGTCGCCACAGAGCAGTTTGTGTTGACTTCAAATTGTCCATCACTGGCTGCGAAAGATCATTCATTAAATTAAAACGAACATTTTCGTATGTGACAACCCTTTCCTATCTGCTCCCATAGAAGTTTACAATCTCAAAAACCCCAAGGAGCCCTGAGTTGAAATGGCTGATGGTGGGGGGGGGTGTTTGAGTTTGGGGTTTTTTCCTGACTTCCGTTCTTTCTTCTATTAGTGCTGCAGCCCCCTCTCTCTGGGTCTGCCCCCTGGCTTCTGAATCTCAAAGCCTCACCCTCACACTGCCCACTCCCAAGCCTCCTATTCACCAGCCATGTGCACATCGAACGCCGTCTTCCTCTGAAAAGTGTTTCCATTTTCTCCTAACGTAGCTCTCCATCAAACTGGAGGGGAAAGGTACTGAAGCCGGAGCCAGGCAAAGTGGGGGTGCCCTTCCTGTATTGGTGTTTTAGAAGTGGCGTCTCTTCCAGGAAAACGAACAGTGGAACTCCTAAGGCGGAGTTTCTATTGCTAGGTCAGTTGCCCCAGGTGCCTCGTGTTGCTATATATTTAAGCTGGGTGTCAGGTGCTCGGGCAGGGAGGCATTTGTGTTTGTCACAGGTGCGGTTTTCCATAGATAGGTCTCTGCCTCTGCCTTCCACTCTAGCCCAGTCTAGAGCTCTACCTAGTTCATCGTCATTGCACAACAGAAGTCACCTCTTCCAGCCAGGGATAAGCCTTTCCTTGCCATTCACGACTTGAACCAAAGCCCGTGGAGTCTTGTAGTCTCTTATCACTCTGACACTGATTTCAAGCATCCGTCAGGATAAAGAGAAGCCCCGGGTGGGGCAAACAGGTGATGTGCCTGGCTGCTAACTGAAGGCTTGGAGGTTCAAGGCCCCTCAGAGGCTCAGTGGGAGAAAGGCCTGGCCGTCTGTTTTTGAGAAGGCCCGTGATTGAGAAGTCTCTGGCACAGCGCCACTCCGACACCCGTGGGGTCTCCGTGAGTCAGAACTGACTCAACAGGAAACAATCCGGGACATAGCTTGTCTTCGTGAACAGGGACATCGTGAATTCAACCTTCCTCTCACTTTCAGCTAGTCAGAGCAAGTCATGTGGCCGATCTCGACATCCATGGGCCAGGGATCTGTGAGTGTGATCTTTCCCGAGGGAAGGGCAGCGAATATTGTGAATAGTACTATCATTTATCATAGCTGTTTGGGTTTGTTTTTTGTTTGCAATATCCTGCAGACTCTGAAACCATTGTTTTTATGTAGTGATTTTTTGCCCAGATCTTCCTAGTAGGAGGATGAGATGAGGGGACCTTTAAAGACACCGGACCTAGGACTTTGATTCTCTGGGTGGTTGGACCTCCGGCTCTGTAGGGTGAAGCACAGAATCTGTCTTGCCTCTTTAGCAGTCTTCTCTCTTTGGGTCAGTGGGAAATTTGATTAGATACACTGCCTTTTCCGGCAGTTGCCACCCAATCCTCAATGACCTTTGGGCCATTAGTAAATCCACTTTCTTGACCTGCAGCATAAATGGACACACCCCCCTTTTTTTTCTTTCTCACTAGCTGTCTTTTGGGGAGACATCGCTTTAGATGAAGATGACCTGAAGTTATTTCACATCGACAAGGCTAGAGACCGGGCCGAGCAGCCAGGGGAGAAAACGGGACACAGCACAGGTAAGTAACACCCATTTCCTGCCCCAGGTGGTGTGCAGTACTGTGTGAAGGTACATGGGTTCTTTTACTCCCGGTCCACAGACATCTGGGAAGTTCACAGTGTTTGGCTGTTATAGATAAACCTGATCCCACCGACACCTCCTGATCACACAGGTTGGTGTGCTTCTTCCATGTGGGCTTTGTTGCTTCCCAGCTAAATGGCCACTTGTTTATCAAAAGGAGAGGATATGTATAAAATGCTCAGCAGAGAGCTTAGCATGTGTGTTAGACAGGGTTCTCTAGAGAGATAAAACCAAATTCCTGATAACTTAATATATTTATTTATAAAGATAATTAGATATATAATGAGAAATGAACTGTTAAATCATATACAGATAAATATATAATCCAAAAAATAGTTAAATTAGAAAACACTACAAATGGCTCAGTGCAACTCACGTCCGTGAGAGAAAGTTGAGAGACTAGCAGTCCTTCAAGTCTAGTCTGCTGCCAGATCTTCCTCTATTTGTAGAGAGAGCTAGGCTATGTCAGCACAGCAGCCAATCACAAGGCAGGTCACCAACTGTCAGCCAGGTCACCAACCGCCAGTCCCCCAGCTCCAGCGATGTCTTAAAGGGACCTCAACTTACAGTGACACAGTCCACAGGTTAGGCGTCCCACAGGTAGTGTAGCCTTTAAATTGAGGCACAGAACAAGCAAGGCAGCCGCACACCGGTCTGATGATCACAGAGAGACAAGAAAGGCAAGGCTCACCAAGCCATTTATCTCTCTGCCTTTCAGTTAATCCCACTTGTGTTTATTAGACAGGCTGGCACAATAAACTATCTCAGCATGTAATAGATGCTCAATAAATATCAAGTCCTCTTCCTCATTCTTATTAGTATTTTCAGAGGGAACACAGACTTAGAAGGATTTAAAGTTAAGTGGAATATGGAGGAAACGTACAATATGTGATGTGAATGTTTGGTGCTTGGGCGTGAAGCTTTTGAAAACCCATACCTGGTGTCCCCTTCTTCCTGGACTTTCTCTTTCTGTGTCTATGTCTGTGTGTGCTCGAGTGCGTGTGGTGTGTGTGTGTGTGTGTGTGTGTGTGCGCGCGCGCACACTTGCGTTCCAGTATGTTTTTATGGCAAGGTGATTTCCCCCCCCCCATCACTTTTCTCCAGGGGCTAATAGTACTTTGCCTCTATCTAGGCGAGTGATTTTATCTTCAGGATGGGAATATTTTTTATGGTCTTTGCTGATTAAAATGGTGCGGCTGGCTGTTATAAATAAATAAATATGCCCAGGAGCTCGAAACGTGTCAGGAGGAAAATGAAGCCTCCTTGCTATCCCAGCCCCAGCTCCCCGCTATCCGTCTGCGGGGTTCTTCCCCACTTACTGTGCACATGCAGGTCTTCCCAACCTCAGAGAGATTTTTCTGGGACCTGCTCTGGTGCAGCTGCTGTTTTCACGGACGGCATCATGGGCACCTTTCTGTGGCGGCCCACCTTAGTCTTTTATAGCAGTCGTGGTCCAGCATACAACTGGATCCTAATTCATCTACCCAATCCCTCCTGGGGCAGCCGTGGTGCTGCAGTGGTTAAGCACCTGACTGCTAATTGAAAGGTTGGTGGTTTGAACCCTCCAGCCGCCCCAGGTGCCATTCTGCTTCGGTGAAGGTCACAACCTTGGAAACCCGTTAGGGCGGTTCTTCGCTGTCCTGCGAAGTCGCTGTGAGTCCAGATGATTTGATGGTAATGGGTCTGGTTTGGCTTTTAATCAGGAAGGTTGTTTCCTTTTTTATTTTTCCTCTCCCGATTAGAAAGAATGATGCAATAAGTAATTTTGTGGATAGATAGCTAAACCTCTCAACTGTTTAAACATTTGCTTTGCAAATGCAGTGAAGAAAGCGGATGGTGCTCGGCTATCAAAAGATATAGCATCTGGGGTCTTACAAGCTTGGCATTAAACAAGCAGCCATCTAGCAGAGAAGCAATAAGGCCACATGGAAGAAGCACACCAGCCTGTGCGATCATGGTGTGTTGAGGGGATCAGGTAACAGGCATCAAAAGACCCAAAACAAACAAAAAAACATGTTGTTGAGAACGAGGGGGGGTCAGGAGCAGAAATGGCAGTAGTGATAACAGGAGGGCAGGGGAAAGGTGGGGAGAGGAGGGGGGAAGGAACCAGGGGTGAAGGAGACGGCACTCGGTGTAAGGTATGAAAATAATAATTTATAATTTATCAAGGGGTCACGAGGGTGGGGGGTTGCTAAAAAGAAGAACTGATAACAAGGGCTCAAATAGAAAGTAATTGTTTAGAAAATGATGGAAGCATATGTGCAAATATGCTCTGTACAATTGATGGCTGGATTGTTATAAGAGCTGTAAGAGCCCCCAATAAAATGATCTTTAAAAAACAAAACAACAACACAAAAAGCATTTGCTTTGATTTTTTATTTTACTGTGGTAAAAGTATCTTTAAAAGAATATGATTTTGGCAGTGCATTTAAAAATGCTTATTGGGGCCGCAGCCGCCCAGCGGGCTGCGGCCCCAGTCTGGGCCATCTCTCCCCTCGGCACTCTTTAGCAAGCAATGTCAGTTTTCTATCAGAATATGAAAGTCTGGAGGCAAGGCTCAGTGCACCTGCGCTGACGGACGCAGGCTGGTAGACAGGGCAGAGCTGCAGATCTGAAAGTCGAGAGAAGGTGGCTGCTGTGGAGATCCAGAGCGGCCCGAGATCTGGAGCGGAGCTGAGTCGGTTTCCGAGGGCCTCCGCAGGTGATGGTTGTGGCCAGGTGGTCAGACTGCCCACCCTCGAGTCCCCTTCTAACCCCAAACATCAGAATCACAGCCCTGAAGGTAAGGGAAGAGGTGGGGTATGGTGGGGGCTGGTAGCATGGATGACTGTATAATCCCCCCTGGAAGGGAGCGGACCACAGAATTGTATGTGAATGGATGCATTGGATGGTGTAAGATACGACAATAAATAAACAAATAAATAAATACGAGGGGGTAGAGTGGGGGAGAGAGGAGGTAAAGGGGGACTGATATCAAGAAGTTTAAGAAGAAAGAAAATGTTTTGATACTGATTGTGGTAGCCACTGGTCAATACTGCTTGATGTGATTGAACTATGGGATGTGATGATATCTGTCAGAGCTCCCAAATAAAATGATTTTTTTAAAAAATGAAATAAATCCAGGTGGAATATACTCAAGGTAAAAAATAAATAAATAAATAAAAATGCTTATGGTGGCCAGCTCTCTATAGAATATAATATTGGCTATTTCAAACCCTGAAGCGTCCCATCCAGTGGCATTAATTCCAGTCATTGTATTGTATAAGCATCATCACAATCTATGTCCAAAAGTGTGTCATGATACCAAGCAGAAACCCAGCATCTGGTCGGCAACCACTCCCCCTTTCCGCCTCTCCCAGGCCCTGATAACCGCTAGAACACTCGTGTCTCTGTGCATCGGTCTGTTCTAGAGATCACTTCTCTATGGGCTTGACTATTTATCCCGTTGTATCTGACTTTCTTCTCTCAGCATTACGCTTTCAAGATTCATCCACGGTGCGGCGTGGTATCCGAGCGTCATTCCTTTCTAAGGCTCAGTATATTCCACTGCGTGGACGCGGCACACACTGTCTCTCCATTCACTGGCTGATGCACACGTGGCTTGCCGTCACCTCTTGGCGTTTGTGGACAATGCTGCGGCAGCGGCCTGTGTTCATGCATCTGTGGGAAGTCCCCACCTCCAGTCTTCTAGGCTGTGGACCTAGGAGTAGAAAGGAGGGAGCGTTATCGTGAACCTTCTGAGGGATTTCCGGGTGGTTTTGCATCATGGCCGCACCATTTGACCATCTCACCAGCACAGAGGTCGGCCCGTTCCCTAGATGTGGTCAAGATCTCAAATTCCCATGGTGAAGAGGCAGGGGCAGACGCAGGCCCCTCAGTGTCTGTGCCTTTGTGTCCGCCACAGCACCAGCCTGCCCACCTGCTAGCCAGATCAGAGGAACGGAGAACAGCACAGGCAATCTTCCTTTGGGGACTTGGCACTTGGTACCCCTCTGCTTCTATCCTGAACTGGCCATAAGCTTGATCTTTCTGAGCAGTCTTTCTGGGGGAAGGGATAGGGAAAGGCCCAAGAGCCCCCTCAGGGTAGTGCGCTGGCCACAAAGAAGTCATCGGAGCATTGGACACCCAGAGGGGACACTCTTGCTTTTTACCTAGGGACCCAAGGCTGTGCTGTTTAATTCCTGTTGGTCTCCCTGCTTCTACGCTCCCTCTTTCCATCCTGCCTCCAGATTACTTCCTGGTCTGACCTTGACGCCACCCTCCCTAAAGTTCTCCCGTTTCCCTAGTGCTAATCAGAAACATTCCTTAGCCTGACTTTCAAGACCCACCCACGCTCTGCCCATAATCGACACCTGCAGGAGCTCCTGCGTCTCCTGACCTCCAGCCACACACCATAGTACTGGGTCTATCCATGCCCTACCTTCCTTCTGGTCAGCCTTCTGTTCTAACCACTCCCGCAGCTCAGTCCCTGCCCTTTGGATGACGGGAAAAAAGGCCTATCAGGATCTTGTGGGCACTCAGTATCCCGCTCTCCTGAGCAGACTGCCAGCTGTGGAAGACTACCTGTTGGGGTTGATCCCAACCCAGTACCATCGATCCTTTCCAACTCATAGTGACCCCATGGGACAGAACAGAGCTACCCTTTTGGGTTTCCAAGGCTGTAAATCTTTACAAGAGCAGAAAGCCTCCTCTTAATCCCTCGGAGCGGCTGGTGGCTTCAAACTGCTGACCTTGCAGTTAGCAACCCGGCCCGTAATTTTCCACACCACCAGGGCTCCCGGTTGCATGGACAGTGCTGGTAAACTAATTTTGGGCTTGGGGTGGAGACAGCTCTAGTTCCTCCCCGCTTCTTGGAGAGGTCTCTTCCCGGCCTCCGAAGCTGCCAGACAGAGGATGTGGCAGCCACATTGAGCCCGGACACCTTCTGTCCGAAAACTT